ACATCCGACCACCTAATGCAGTAGTTCACACTACACCATGTTCTGCCCCCATTTTCCCTTATAACAATCTTAGATCGTTGGCCGATCCAAGATTGTCGCTGCTGATTTCGTAACCGATCATCCTGCAGTGTGATGTAGATCGTCGTGGCTCCGATCTAAATCAGGGTTTTTCCCGGACTGGGAGCTAAACGGTGAATGTGACAGGTAGCCAATCAGAAAGCCGGATTCTCCTCCGTGATTTCTGAGGGGAAATAACGAGGGGAATCCCAAACAGCTGACACGGCGCAACCCAAAGTCCAGCGGACATCGGAGATGATATGTGGAAACAACATTAATATTTATTTAACATTTCGTGCAAAGAATATACAAATGACAAGGGGAGGAGTTGGAGCCAAATTGCTACCGCAGTTGATAAACCCGGTAACTTTTCAGTTGTTCTTCGTTAACGTGACATAAATAGGTTACAATGATTTTCATTCAGTCATGACTTTACGCCGACTCTAGCCACATGCATCACAGGTAGATTCTAGTAAAGCATTGATTAATGCCTGATTTTAAAATTAGTTAACTGGACTTGTAGCCATTATTTTGTGCCCAGGTGGCTGGACGCCACACGGCACGACAAACCCGATTGAACCGTTATACCCAGAATTTCTGTCGGCTAATGTGTCTCTCAGGTTTAGAAAATGGGGCGACAACTGATGTAGTGTGCGCTGGACATTACACTAAGGAAATGAGGAAGGGCGGGTCAGTGGCCACTGAACCCCTGAGACCGACTCATCGAACCCCCGGGGTTCGAGAGAACCCAGGTTAAGAACCACTGCATTAGACAGAACCAGCGGTCCAAACGTCCCTGAGTTCCTATAAAAAGACGAAAAGTCTTTGTTCCTACAGAGATTAAATTCCCTTCTGGAAAACGTAGGACCATCATTTATCTGTAGGACCAGTTCTAGAAATAGGCAACATGGAACCAATAGATGGAAGCCCAGGGTGTCATCTACTGAAGGGGGCGCTGCTGCAGCTACTAGAAACAGAACAGAGCATCTCTGACTGGAGCCGGTCGCTAATTGTAGCTGCTAATCATGCTAGCACGCTTCACTCCATATAAAGGTGCCTCACTTCACCTCTGCTTCAGCTCACCTACCCACAATCCTTTGTGGGTAGGTGAGCCCCAACCCCAGAAACCAACGGCAACAAGATGCATAGAAATATTGGCTGGTCAAATCGGCCCAGTTTCATTTACCGATGTTATTATCGATAAATCGCAAATGGCAATCATGAATGCTGCCGTTCACCCTGCAGGTCGTGACCCCGTTAGCCCCGCCCACTGACCTGCCACCAGCAGGATGGGATGCTTGTCGGGGTGCAGCTCCATCTGTCGGGCGATCCAGGCGCCGTCGAAGTGCGCGTACCACCAGCCTTTCTTCTGCTGCGGCTCCTTGAACTGCTCCGCCGGCCGAATGAACGGGATGCGGAAGTAACGCTGCTGCCGATTGGCCGACAGGTCCTGCTGCCGAGCCGGGAGGGGCGGGGCCAAGCTCTGCTGGGCTGCTGATTGGACGAGAGACATTAGAGGCAACAGGACATGGAGATGGACCAGAACCAGAACCAACTGGACCGGAACCAGACGGCCCAGTCTATTGGGACCTACAGGGCGCTTTGAGACCCAGAACCAGAAGATCCAGAATATGGAAAAAATCAGAAAAGGTTCTGCAGAACCAGCAGGTCCAAATCCAGCTGGATCAGAACTTCAGTGATGGAGCAGAGTCAAAAACCAGAACCTGAGATCCGTCCAACAGGAGTTTCCCTCCCTGCTGGATCCACTCAGGTTCTGATCGGGTTCTGCTCAATCGCACTTCGTTCTGGACCCAGTGTGGACCGGTACCACCAGAACATCTTCCTCCTTCCTCTATGAAGCAGAGCAACTAGAAGCAGAACCAGCGGTCCCAGTAGGCCCAGTTAGGAGCAGAACCAGCGGAACCAGCAGGTTAGTGGAGATTAGCCGGGTTCTACAGAACTTACGCGTTTCTCTGGCTGCAGACGGAACATCTGAAACACGGAGACACAGGATGAAGACCATTCTGCCCGACCCAAATGGGTCTGACAGGTTCTGGTCCTGACACTGAACCAGAACCTGCAGAAGCTCAGGAGCTTTATTTTGAAAGTCTGACATAAATCCATTTCCTGTTTGGGGCATAAACAAGAAGTTCTGTACATCAGAACTTCCTGTTCAGAACCAGAATCTCTGTGAGGAAACTAGTTGGATCAGAACCTTCAGGTGGCTAGAAGGTTCTGATGTTTCCTGACCAACAGAACCTTCAGCTGAATATCTGAGGAGCTGGTGAAACCAGAACCGGTTCAGAACCAGAATAGAAGTGGCATACCGTATTCCATGACGGAGCGCGGCGCCCGCTGATCCGCCTCGGCGTTCCTCTTCTTGTTCCGGGCCTTCCAGGCGTGGTACACCTTCAGCCGCCGGTGGAACTCCTCCCTGCAGGCCGCCAGCAGCTCGATGTCTGAGGGAGAGGAGGACGGGTCAGGACCCGGTTCTGAACCAGAACCTGCTTCTGTTGGGCCGACCCACTGAGGGAGGTTCACTGGTTTTCATTTATAATTTATTAACATGACAGATCTGATCCATAATGGACTCTGGACTCAACAGAACCAGCAGACTGGACCCTCCCTGAAGTTTCATCGTCTCTTCCGCTGCTCACCAACCCTGAGACCGCCTAAACCTGGACCCAAAGAACTCAGTCAGCACCAACCCAATGCTGTTTGGTTCTGACCGTTTAATATTTAAAATTAGATTCTGAAAACTGATCTGGAGTTTAGTAGCCCCGCCCCTCGACCGGAAGCCCCGCCCCTCGCCATAAAATCCAGTAACTTCTGGATCTGTGTTGTTCACCACAGGATGTGCTGACGGACCCAGACCCAGAACTAGATCGGAACTTCAACCTGGATCTAAACATGAACCTGGATCCAGATTCTAATCCTAATCCCAGATCCGGGTCACTCACCACAGGATGTGTTGATGGCGTCCCGCAGCTCAGCGTACTTCCACTTGCTCAACTCAAACTTTTTGGCGTTGGCAGCAGCTTTGTTGGCCTGAACCTGCGGCCCTCTGGGATAGGAAGCAGAGACAGGAAACAGGAAGTGAGACGAAGACGTGCAGGTGAGGAGGAGGGGGAACGCCTGAACGCCATAGATCCACCTGAGGAGCCGAGTTCACTGAGAGTTTCCCACTGAAACTGGTTCTTATCACAGTTCTGGTCCAAAGAGAAGTCCAGAGTTCTGGACCAGCAGAAGTTCTAACTGGGTCCAAAAGGTTCTGGCTCTCTACCTGGATATGGACTCAGTCCTCAGCTGCAAGTAACCAGGTGTTTGACTCCGGAACCGGATCTGGATCAAGAACTGGATCTGGACTATCTGCTCCTCAGACCATCTAGTCTCTGGATCAACAATGTGGTCTTCAGGAGCAACACTTGGTGAACCAGAACTCCCAGTGACCTCCCAGTGACCTCCCAGTGACCTCCCAGTGACCTCCCAGTGAACTCCACTCCATCAGGAGCTCAAAGATGGAATCAGAGTCCAGTTCTACAAACAGAACAGGGTTACGGGTCAGAAACACACCAAGTGGAGGAGAGGAGAAAGAACTGCATGCAGTAGAACCAATAGAACCAGTAGAACCCAGTAGAACCAGTAGAACCCAGTAGTACCAATAGAACCCAGTAGAACCAATAGAACCCAGTAGAACCAATAGAACCCAGTAGAACCAATAGAACCCAGTAGAACCAGTAGAACCCAGTAGAACCAGTAGAACCCAGTAGAACCCAGGGTCCGGTGGACAGAGTGAGCAGAATCCATCTGTGAACCGTCAGCGACTTCTCATGTTGGAAATTCAGGAATTTGATTAATTTTAATTTAAAATTTTGATTTTTGTTGTTGCATCAGAAACCAGAAGATCCATTTTCCCGTCTTCATCCAGCTGTGCAGATCAGCGGAACCACATGGACCGGACCTCTGCTGGTTCTGGACCGGAAAGCTCTGGAAGTACCAGGAAGGGCCCGCTGATGGCGCTGTAATCCATGCCCGACCTGGGTGACCTTTCGGGTCAGACGTTCTGGTGGTTCTGGAGGTGTGAGCAGGAATAAGACCCGAGCAGCAATTCCCGGTTCTTCAAACGTATGAACTTCCTCCACCAACGGACCGCAGGTCCAGAACCAGAACCTTCTTCTTCATGGACCGGTTTGGATCAATCAGGATCATCTGGTTCTGATTAGCGATCTGATCCGAATCAGAGAGAGATCGGAGAGATTTGGTTCCGACGGACGGATTTTACCCACCGGGCCAGAAGTTCGGTCATCTCCTTCGCCATTTCCTCCCTGCAAAGCATGATGGGCCGGGTTAGCAGGATGTGGGCGGAGCTTAGACACATTTCAACCCAAGAAGAAGAAACTAGTTTCTGATCTCAATGTGAAATAAACCCCAGAAGAAGAGACCAACAAACTCCCAGTTTACTCAGAAGAACCAGAACCAAAACCAGTTTCTGACCCAGTTCAGGTTTTCAAACTGGTTCTGATCTGGTTCTGGTTCGTACGGACCCGGCCAGATGCCACAAGACACCTGAATGTGTTGCTGTAGGTGCAGCAGGTGTGTGAGAGGAACCTACATGGTGTAGCTCTTCAGCTTGGCGCCGACCTGCAGGCTGGAGAGAGTCAGAGTTAGAGACGACGAAGAGGAGGGGATCGATCATTGATCCATCATTGATCTATCAGCTCCAATCAGAGGAGGTCAGACTGGTCACCAGTTGAACCAGTTCCTACTGAAACTGGGCCAGAACCCTTCACTGGTTCCCATTGGCCACCAAGCTGGACCCAGCAGAACCGGATCCATCAGAACCAACCACCAACCACAGCTCAGCTGTCTCTGATGTCAGCCAATGAAGCTTCGGCGGTGGGCGGGGCTGACCTGGTTCTCTGGAAGCCAACCCAATCTTCTTTACTGGGTTCCTTCCAGAATCAGCCCCGGTTCTGACCCGGTTCTGAACTGGAACCAGCTTGTTGAGACAATCAGAACCTGGATTGAAACACAGAGATTCTAACAATTTGCAGCTTATGTTTGGACTCCTCTGGTTCTGGTTCTGAACTGTCTGGAGACTAGAACTGGTGCTGATCAGGTCGGAAAAGGTTCTACTAGGAAGTGAGGATTGTTAGATTGTTACGGCATGCAGGGGTCAGAGGACAGGGGTCAGAAAGAGCCGGGGTTAATCAGAAAGGTTATGTCTGAGGATCTTACGCTGCTCTCTCTGGAGACGATGGAACGGAGGAGCCGTTACTGGAACAGGAGAAGAAGAACAACGTCAAACACCAGAGAAGAAGAACATCGTCAAACACCAGAGAAGAAGAACATCGTCAAACACCAGAGAAGAAGAACATCGTCAAACATGGTGGAACTTCGTCAGTTTCCTCCTGAGCTCAGGAAGAGCTGCCGTTGTTAAGAAAACAGCTAATGCGGATCCAAATAAACCAAGGTCCAGGTTCTGGTTCTGGATCATTAAGGCCTGAAGGAGAAACTGGACCTCCATCACCCAGAAACAATTGTAAAACTTTATATTCATTTATATATAATCGTTTGGAGATTAATCTGATTTTGTTTCGTCGTACACCAGGAAATAGATTTGTTCAGAGCAGGTCACTGTGAGCTTCCTGAGCCTAGAGGTCAAAGGTCAGGGTACCTGCGCAACCCCGAGTCACTCAGTGTCTCGTCGGGAATCAGCTCCGCCTCGCTCTGGGCGATCCGCATGGCCAGCTCCCGGTCCCTCCGCTCCTGCTCCAGCACCGCCTGCCGTGCCACTTCCTCCTCCCGCTCCGCCTGCAGCTGCAGCTCCAGCTCCGCCTGGGGACGGAATACAATCTGGATTATTTGGTCCAGATTATTTGGTCAGCAGGTGGAACCAGGAACAGCCTGCTTCCTATTTCTGTGGATGTCTATGCACCTCCACCTCCTGCTATAACAGGGTTAGCAGGAGTGCTAGCAGTTAGCAGCTAACAGGTTTAGCAGAAAAGCTAGCAAAAGGCTGCTGTCTGAATGAGATCCAGGTTATAGTAAATATTTTTAAATGCTGCTGCTCAGGTTGAGCAACGTTGGAGGAACTCAAGTTTCACACATGAACTTCAGCGAACTCATCCAGCGCAGGCATGGAAAAACACCAACCTGAAGCCGCCTCTCCTCTTCCTCCCTCTTCTTCCTTTCCTCCTCTTCCTGCTTCCTCTTTAGCTCCATCTCTGCTTTCCTACAGAGGAACAGACAGAAGGCGAGAGGGAAGTTCATCCATCTCTGCAGAAGTCCTGGGTTCCCGTTCGGAGACGTTCCCTAACGTCCGGATCAACACGCATTGGGGAACCGTCTGGGCTGTGGACGGGGCCGAGAGGATGAGAAACGGTGGACAGAATGTTCTGGGTTTTTACTGAAACGTTATCTTGCCATTTGCTCATGAACTGTGGCTGTTCCAGTAAATTCAGCCGCCACAGCTCCACGCTGCTCTGCTATCAGTTTGGACTGGAAGACATTTGGACAACCAGTCCAGTGACGAAGCCGTTGCCAACATCAGTTATGAACATGCGACTCAAACCGGACACAGCGCCCCCTAATGGTCAGCTTGAACCTCCTCACCCTAGGAATGTCAAGAGTTTCAGAAAAGTCTGACAAGCAACACATGTAACTTTCATTAAAAAAAAAGTAGCAACTTGCTGAGAAACTCGTGAGCTACGCTCGCTAGCCCAAATCCTGACTGTCCACCAGGGGGCGTGTCTGAGTGAGAGTTTTATATCCCTGCGGTACCACCATCCAACCCTAAGAGGGCAGCACTGAAGCAGCGATAGGCCCAATTTTCAGGATTAAATTTAAATGAAAACGTCACAATCTGCACAGAAACCAAGACAGAAGAAGCAATTTACACAACTCATCAGGAGAAATGGTTGATTTGGGGTTTAGTTAGATTCCGATGAAATCAAAACATTTTTATTGAAATTATCACGACTGATAAACTTCGACCCGTCTGCTGACTGATTTTCCCTCCTAACTGCTGCAGATCTGGGATCAGGACGGCTGAAGGTCATTCTGCTGGGAAACGTGCAGATGAAGGCTGCATGTCTCAGGCTGCGACCTTCAGCCCGCGGCGCAGGGGGAGCGAGCCATAAAGCTCAGCCTGTCGTCTCTAATGTGTGACATTAGCGAGCGGCGGCTTGTGACGAACACGACGGCTCCCATCAGTCCTGCTAAAGACTCCCAGGCTGCAGCCTGAACGCGCAGCGGGCCGTGACCCGCATGCAGAGCGCCGCCGCCACAGGAGGGGGGGGCTCCTACCGCTGCCTCTGATCACTGTGGCTCTGGGTCCCGACTCAACAGCGGGTCCGGATCATCAGGCGCCAGGGAGGAACAAGAAGAGGCTCAACCTTTCCAACCAACCCGGATCGTCAGCAGCAGAACTGGGACCGTCTGCCTCAGGGGAACCAGAACCGCCAGCGCAGAGCCGCCTCCACCGCAGCAGGAAATATAATAAAGCTTTTAATAAAGCTTTCCAATATTTCGGAGTTTTTCTGCATCAAAAATTTTGGGCGGACAGGAAAACGTATTTCTGCCCAGCTGCAGTCTGAACTGATCCAGAGTAATCAGATTACTCCAACATACTGTGGGGCTGCGCTGCGATTGGATGTTCCTACTTACAGGCGGCGCTCATCCTCCTCCTGCCTGCGGCGCTGCTCTTCCTCCTCCCTCCTCTTCCTCTCGCGCTCCATCTCCTCCTGGATGCGGCGCAGACGCTCGCGCTCTTCCTCCTCCTTCTTCTTGTTCTGCAGGTCCGTCAGCAGCTTCTCCGACCGCTTCACCAGAACCTGGTACTCGTGGTCGATGTCGATGCGGCTCATCACGGTGTTCTGGAAGCAGGCAGAGAGGGTCAGAGGTCAGAGGTCAGGTTCAGAAACTTCAAGCTGAGGATCTGGTTGGTCTACATCTGACTTTATGGTCAGAGTTGCCATGGTAACCACCCTTGTTAAGGCCATCCAATAAGCCGTCACCTTAAAGCGGATGAATATTTATGAGGAGCCGTTACCGTGACAACGCTCAGACGACAAAGTTTGTCCGTACAGGAGTCATTCATGGCACTATGAGCCCAACAGAGCCAGCAGAACGGCCTATTTAAAACCCAGATTCAGCCAGAACATCCGTCATCAACTGTTAGCAGCTGCCAACTACGGCAAACCATTACGCCCAAAAATTGGCTCTATTGCGCCATCTGGTTCAGAAAGGACGGAAGAAAGAAAACTGTATATATACGCATCTATGGATGGGCTCACACAACAACTGGCCCAAAATGTGCTGCCGACCCACCAGAACCACCAGAACCTCACCTTGATCTTCAGCGTCAGGGCGTTGATGGCGTTCTCCAGCTCCAGGATCTGCTGGCTCATCTCCTGCTTTCCCTCCTTCAGGCCTCCCACCACCTCCGTGAAGCGGCCCATCCTCTTCCTCAGGTTCTGGACCTTCACCAGCCCGTCGATGCTGCAGACACACAACCGGGTCTGTTAGCAGAACCACAGGAACTGGGTCAGCTAGCGGGTCCGTTAGCGGGCCACGCACCATTATTCCAACGCTAATCATTTTGAACAGATTTCTTCTTCTCTACATCGAGTTCAGCTTAAGGTCAAAGTTCACCCAGAAGCGTTCATGACACAAAGAACCGACACGATCCACCAGAACCTCCAACCGCCATGGGTGGGTCCGGCTCCCAGTCTACTGTTTGAGTCATGAGTCGGAGCGGTTCTGGTTCCGACTATGACCTGATCCGTCCATCACTGCAGAATCCCCTGCAGTCGTCATCGCTCCAGTAATCCCCGACGGCGCCGCTCAGATCCGGTCAGCATGCTGTCAGAGATGATGAAGGAAACGGCGCTCCTCTTCACCCGCAGTGGTCCAAACGGTTCTAATCAAATGGATCGGCGGCCCGGAACTATCGCACGCAGAGAATGCAACGAGCAGAACGCCGGCGGCCGGGGAACGATGGATAATGAAATGGAGGGAGCGTGGCGGTCAGAGAGCTGGAGGAGGAAGCTGCTAACCGACGACAGGAAGCAGAATAGGAAGTGTGACTCACCGAGGCTTGTGCTTCTTCCTGCAGAGCCACATGCGGACCGTCTTCTGCATGGTGATGCAGGCGCCGGTCCGGTACAGGATCTTGTTCTTTACTGTAACAGACAGACAGGAACCACTTTAACCAGCTGGACCCAAACCGGACACAACACCAGAACCACAGAGAGTGGGAAGTTAAAGGCCAGAGTCCACCAGGTGGAGACATCTAGTGGCTCAGATATGAAACTGCAACGGAGTTAATATGTTGAGAGCCAGAAACAAATATAAAAAGATTTTTAAAATCCTGATGCTGCATCAGATGGTGCAGCAACCATCTGGACCAGAACCGGTTGGTTCTGACCAACAATCATTGTCTCTTCATTACTGTGAATAATCTCATTGATGGACTGATTAGTATCAGCATTTATAAATCCACAGGTTTCCAGTTTCCTGTCATGATGTGAATCGGGTTCAGTTCTTGAGGTTCTGATCCGATAGCAGGAGGTTGAACCAGAAACGACTGATTGGTGTGGATGGGAGAACGTTGCCGGCAGTAAAGAGGCAACGCTTCAGGAGAAACGATGGAAGGTGAGGTGATGAAGCTGCTTACGCTTGATGACGGACAGAGCGCACCACTGGACCTTCTTCCAGCGGCTGTGGATCAGCCATTTGTTGACCTTCTGGACCAGCGCCGCCAGGTGCTCCGGGTCGGACCTCATGATCTGGTCAAACTCTGCGAACTGGAAACCAGTCAGAACAGTAAGTAACCTCTCTGCTCCCTTTGAGAGCCTGACTGTCACGCTGCTGTCTGATGTTCTGGTCCGTTTTCCCTGGTCCGAGTTGGGCCTCCAGAGCCAACAGGCTCAGTTCTGATTGTCGGATCGGTTAGTCTGGTGCAGAAAGGAAGGAAGGATGTCTCACCTTTCCAGGGCGGAAGAACACTTTGGTGAGGCCGAACTTGTAGTCGTTCTCGTCGAGTCCCAGAGCTTTAAACAAAGCCTACAAACAGAAAAACACAACAAGGTTCTTAAAATCAGCCGAGAAGGCCCGGTTCCGGTCCAGAGCTTCAAGAACTCACCTTACAGAAGAGCCGCGGGTCGAGGCGGGTCAGCTTGGGCGGCATGTACTTCTGGTACATGTTGTAGAGTTCATGGAAAGGAGCTCTGGAGGGAAAGCCGCCCTGCATCAGGTCCAGAACCGACACCATTCCTGCAGAACACGGCCCAGAACAGAACCTCAACATGTCTGTTCGCAATCGGGTTCTTTCCATTTTATTTCCCATGTGACATGAATGACCAGCACCAGAACTACAGCCTGGGGCACTGAGGGAAAGTTCCCTCGGCGGCTCAAGTTTAGGCCCCATTTTATTTATTTTGTATTTGCCGCCTCTTGGACATATTTTTAAGAAATTGTCTTTTCAGTGTTTGCTGACGATGTGCAGATATACAACAGATTGCTTAACAGCAGTTAGCCAATGGATGAACCAAAAGCTTCTTCACTTGAATCAAAAATAAAACTCAAGTTGTTCAGTTTGGACAAAAGAGCCTCATTAGTCAACCTGCTAAAGTTCTTGGTTCCTTTGCTCCTTTTCTTCTGTTAGAAATCTCAGTGTCATTTTGACAGTTTGAAACCGGATCAGCAGGTGAGCTCTGGCGCTTTTTCCATCTTCTAGCAAAGGTTAAGTCCAGCCTTCATCACAACACGTTTAGACTATGCAACTCATCATGTAACAATGTGGACCAGTCTTCCCTACAGCGTCTCCAAATGATTCAAAATGCCGCAGCGAGACTTTTAACTGGAACCAGAAACCGGAGCACATGACCCCACCATCGGCTTCTCTGCCAGTTCCTTATCGGATTGATTTTAAAATCCTTTTATTGGTTATTAAAACTGTACATGGCTTAGATCCAGATTATCTTCAAGACGTTCTTCATAACCAATAAATTTCTCTTGCATATTCCCAGGCGCTGATCTGTGGAACAACTTGGCCTTTAACATTAGATCTGCTCAAAGTCTGGGACTATTTAAATCACTCCTTAAAACTCTTTATTCTTTAACTTTTCCATAAGGCCTGACAGGGTAATTTACTTGCCCTGTCTATTTTAATTAGTGTTTTATTCTTATGCATTTTATGAATACTGTACAGCACTGTGGAGCAGTGAATATCTGGTTTTAAAGTGTTTTTTAAATAAAATTGACATTTAGGGTCAAGGCGGACCACGACCCGATGGGCTGAGGTCAGAGGTCAGGGCGGGACCACGACCCACTCAGAGGGAGCCTGTGGGGCCTCGCTCTGCGGCGTCAGCCTGTGGCAGCATTTCCAAACTCTGGTCCTCCAGGAACACGGTCCTGTAGCTTTTATATGTTCCCCTGTTTCAACCAGTTAATCAGCCATGTGTTGGAGCAGGGGAATGTCCCTCAGAGGGAGTCACCATCATATTTCCTGAGTTTAATGCAATAGGCTCCGCCCACCAGGCTAGCCTGCCTCTTGATGCAGAGAGTTGAAGGAGCTTCTCTCCTTAAACTCATCAGGAGGTGCTGGTCCAGTTAGCCCTTTAATCTGAAAGTGAAGCAGAGCCTCAATCCTCTCTAGCTGCAGGAGATGAAAATGTTCTCAGGTTCTTGTGGAGAACAATCTGTGGTCGGCTCTCCTGATTGATGCTAATTAGAGGAGCTTGCACTGTCTTCTTTCCACGCTGAGTCAATTAAAGCCAATCATCAGCAAACGACCTACTGCCAGAAACAGGAAGGAGCCCCAGCGGTTCGTACCGGAGCACTGCAGCTGGGAGAGGATCTGAGCTCCTTCAAACTGGTGGCTGACCATCTTCAGGTTGGGTTTGATGCAGCGGATGAAACTGGAGCCCTGAAGGAGAAGCAGATCAGTCAGACCCAGAGAGCAGAACCAGAACCAGCACCCCTGCAGGGGAACATGACTCACCGTGCTGCGCAGCTTGTCCAGGAGAATATTCAGCTGCATCTGCAGGAGAAACAGGAGTTCTGTTATTAAAGCAGACGGTTCATGACCACATCTCTGCTGGATCCAGCAAATTTATTTTCTGGCCTCACGCTGAAGCTGCTTCGGGTCAAACTGGGTCAACATGGTGAAGCGTTTGGTCCACCGAATGGCAACACTAAACTCTGACAGCTGCTATCTGCATCTCACGCACATCAAGGACATGCAACACCTCTCCACAGGATGTGGTTACCATAGAAACACAGGAGCTGACAGGAACCAGAGCCAAAGCCCGTCAGGTCGGGGTGGGAGACCGAGCGCAGAGGGTCAGAGGTCGTGCTCGGCGTTCGGCTCACCTTGAACTTGTTTCCGACGCTGATGAAGCTGAGCTTCCCGGCCTTCTGCTTGGCGTCTCGGCTGCTGGCGGCGTTCTCAAAGAGCCGGCGGACGAAGCCGTCCTTGGACTCGCTCACCAGGTTCTCCAGGGACATGTGCAGCGCATCGTTGTTCTTCTCCACAAACTGGGTCTGATGAGAGACACGAGGACACGGTCAGACCCTGCAGGGGTCCGACCAGGCAGCCGGACCAGGTTCAGGTGATCCGGACCGGACCAGGCTGCCGGCTCCTCTGCTGAACCCACCGTCTCATAGCACACGGCTCCTGCAAAGTGGCGGATGATGAAACCTTCATCGTCCCGGACGTTCCGGTGAACGGTCAGCTTGGACTTCCTGGGAATCTGCGGCACACAGAGACAAGAGTCATCAGGACATTTTCCCAGAACCGACTGAACTGATTTCATCTACAGATGGTTCCAGTTCAGACTAGAGGATTTACAGTTACATTCAGGTCTTTTATTTTTAAAACGCAAAGTACTTCCTTCACCAGCTGATCATTGGATGTGGAGATAAAAACCTTTTATTATTTCAAGAACCTAAACTCATCTTTAAATGATCACAGCTTCTAGTTGTTTTCTGGCCTCCAAGTCTGTTTCCCTCCTTCGGTCTGGTTGACCGGGTTCTACAGGAGCCAGAACATCTGCTCCACTCCCATCTGCTGTGGTTCTTTCTCTCTGCTCTGAGTCAAACTAACCTGTTCCCCTCCTGGCCTGTGGGGGCGCTGCACCAAGAACCACTGAAGGAAACGACACAAAAACCTCTGAAGACACTGAGAGCAACTTCCTTCTTCAGCAGATGAAAACAAGATGGAGGCGTCAGGTTTTAGCGGTTGGAGGATTTCTCTTAAAGACCAGGAGCCATTTTTGCTGCTAGCGCTAGGCTAACACGTTAGCTTTGGTTGTATTTACCCAGAATGCCCTGCACTGTAGTCCACTTCCTGCTTTTGGAGCGGTATATGGTCCACTTGGCATTCACATTCAAACCGAACCCAGAACAAAATTTGGAGGACAAAAGGTCAGAGGTCGTCTAGGGTTCACACCTCACCAACCGAACCGGACTTTCTAGGCAAAGTCTGGTTCGTTCCCTAATGATATTGTGATTTCCATGAGGATCTGTGAGCTGGCAGGGCGGTCTTAGTAAGCCATTGGTTCCAGGCTTCAGCTGCAGCAGAGGGACTCACCGTGAGGCGAAAGTGGTTCCTGTGCTTGCTGTGAACCGTGTCAGTGAAGTGCTGGTCGCTGGGCTGAGGCAGGCGGTTCTCCTCGTCCAAGATGTCCAGAATGCCCACCAGCTTGGCCTCCACCAGGTCTGCAGAGACAGAGGAGACGCCCTGATGAAGATGAGGAGGAAGCAGCAGCTGCAGGACATCCAGAAGGACCTACCGATGCAGTCCTGGTTGTCGACGTAGTGAACCTCGTTGACCCCCAGCCCCTCCTTCTGGTACAGCTCTTGTTCCTGCAGAGGAAACCAGACCATGAAGGTGAGAGAGACGGCATCCAATCAGGACAGGCGATGCTGCTTCCAGCTTCCTGGTTGCTGCCAGGAAATTGCAGGAAACCAGGACCCAAGCGACCGGGTCTGTTGTCATGGCAGCAGCTCACCTCCTTCAGGATGCGCTCGTTGAAGAACTGCTGCAGCTTCTCGTTGCAGTAGTTGATGCAGAACTGCTCAAAGCTGTTGTGTTCAAAGTATTCTGGAAGACAGAGAGAAGATCAGAGGTCATCTCCTTCCCAACGACCCCTCTTCCTCATCGTGGACTGACCGAAGCCGGCGATGTCCAGCACGCCGATGAAGTTAGCCGAGGAGTCGAAGGGGAAGCACTGGTTGACCCGCGTCACCACATGGTCGAAGAGCCGGCTGTAGGTGGCCTTGGCCAACGCGTCCCGGGCGTTGTTGGCCTGCTCCACCTTCAGGGGCACCCTGGGGAGACACGGGGTGACCTCTGACCTTTACAGACTTCACTAGGGAGAGAGAGCTGCCCACCTGACCATCAGGTTAGCAACAGCTGCCAGGAACTGAAGCGTGTCAGGGTTGACCACAGATAGAGTCTTTCAGTATAAACCACTGCTGACTGCAGAAGCTAAGAGGAGTCACGCTGTTAATTGTTGGACCAATCAAAAAAGAGGTCAACCTTTGACCTCTGCTTAGATAAGAAAAACCCAAACTGATCTGCTGCAGAAAGAAACCAGACAGTTACCAGGCCTCAGACCTCAGCATCACTCATTCACTACGGAATATTCTGTGTCTGCATAGCTAGCACAGCTAACATAGGTAGTACAGGTAGCACAGCTAACATAGGTAGCACAGCTAACATAGGTAGCACAACTAACATAGGTAGTACAGGTAGCACAGCTAACATAGGTAGTACAGCTAACATAGGTAGCACAGCTAACATAGGTAGCACAGCTAACATAGGTAGTACAAGTAGCACAGCTAACATAGGTAGCACAGCTAGAATGCTGCTTCCCTTGAAGGCATTTTATTTAAACAAAATCAAACGATGTGAGAGAAAGAAAATTACTTAAGAGATTGAAACAGTTTCAGATTTCTGTATCATACGATGCTAATGTTTATGCTAATCTGAGCAGCACTACTGATGCCAGATGGCTTCCACTCTACAATAATGTGCCGATTTTGTAGCGGCCCGGTCTGCGGAGGTTAGGGCCAGTATGAGCAGCCGGCCAGTTCTTCAGAACAGGTCAGAACCTCAGTCAGGTCCAGCAGGCCCGGTTCCAGCAGCCTGAGCTTTATACAGCTAATGGGTCATTAGCTTGTGTTCTGGATGGTTCTGCTCACCAGCAGTCAGTTCAACTGTTTGGTTCTGATTGACTTCTAACAACATCTTACACACTTTCTGGGCCGGACCAGCAGAGCAGAACCTGGCAGCTGTTCACTAGTGGAAACTGAAAACTGTGGAGTGTGTGTGTGTGCATTTGTTTGTAATACCTTGTGGGGACCATTTTCCTGATACAAACATTGTGGGGACCCACTGCTACTTGTGGGACCGAAGCCTGGTCTCCACAAGGGGAAACCCTGTTTTTGGGTCAGGGGTCAGCTATAGGATTACGGTGTGAATTGAGTTTTGGTTAGAGTTAGGATAGGGTTTAGGGTAAGGATTAGGCTGTAGAAATTAATGGAAGTCAATGGAAAGTCCCCACAAAGATAGCAATGCAAAGGTGTGTGTGGTGAGCAGCAGCTCTTACTTGATAGCCGTCCCCTTGGCACCCCCTGCTGACGTGAGCATGACCCTGGTGGTGAGGCTGACCCTGAGGTCGTCTTGCTCCAGGCCCAGCAGCTCAGCGCAGTGCTGCAGCGTCTGGCCCGACTGGTTCCTGATGGTGCAGCCGCCTGCAAGACAAGGAGGAGGGCAAATCATTGGTTTTGCTGTTGCTCCGGTTAAAGTGGAGCCTGTCGGGGAGCAGGGGTCACCGACCTGAGGCTGGGAGCTGCTTCACAGAGCAACACCTGGTGCTGCTTGAAACGGACATGAATTATCCCGTTATGACAATAACACATAAATGTATATATGATTACATGCTGTCTGATCACACTAAGGTTAGGGAGTACTCACAATAGTTAGTAATGATTTACCATGGCAGCTATGGTTAATCGTCATTTACCCACAGTGACTGACAGTTTGATTGTTGCTGCAGCGCCTCCTGCTGTGCGCTGTGAGTACCATGAGATTTTACTTTAAATAAAAAAAGAAAATAATAGTTATTGTATGTTTTATTATCCAACCCTCTTTACTATTAACAAAACTGTGTAGAAAAAAAAGATCTTTTGTACCAAAGCATCTTGTACGTAGCATTCATCAGTGTGAGTCTGTGTGGGTCAAAGGGCAGGCCGAAGACCAAGTCTTATTGGTCAGATTGCTTTTGTTAATTTGGCACCTTGGTGTTTTTCTGTAGCTAAAGATGAATGAATGGAGTTTGAACCTAGCCCTAACCTCATAAGGAACCAGGGGAACCAGAGGAACCAAAGAACCAGAGGAACCGGGGGAACCAAAGGAACCAAAGAACCAGAGGAACCAGAGGAGCAGGGGGAACCAAAGGAACCAGAGGAACCAAAGAACCAGAGGAACCGGGGGAACCACAGGAACCAGAGGAACCAGAGGAACCACAGGAACCAGAGGAACCAAAGAACCAGAGGAACCAAAGAACCAGAGGAACCAAAGAACCAGAGGAACCGGGGGAACCACAGGAACCAGAGGAACCAGAGGAACCACAGGAACCAGAGGAACCAGATGCAGCAGCAGGTCCTGCAGATCCGTCCGGGCCTGAATCTCAGCGGCTCACCTGAGGTGCTTCCGGCCTCCTCAAAGTCGATGTTGCCCAGATGCAGAACGCCGGCCACCACCCGGAACAGGTCCAGCTTCTCGGTGTCGCCCAGGCCGATCTTCTTCATGGCGACGCTCATCCTGGTGAAGTCTCCGTGGTCGTCCAGCAGCGGGTCCTTCAGCGGACCGGCCTTGCTGTGCTGAGGAAACAACACACTGCATGATGAACCTCTGGCCTGAAGAGGGCACCGTTTCACTGTTCAAACCTCAATCTGAACATTTCTCCTGCTGCTGCTCCTCAATCATCTTTGGAATGGTTTCTGGCTCAAGAGCGCCACCCATCACCTGATTCCAGGTAGATTCAGTCTCTGCAGGTTCTAACCTTGAGATTTTTATTTATCTACCACCTGCACCTGTTCAGCCTGCTGACGCTCCCAGTTATTCTGATGTTTCCTTTTATTTCTGCAGATGATTCTGATTGGCTGAGAGCTTCACCGTCACCGTGGAGATGAAGCGTCCAGCCTAATTTCTGTAAAACTCCCATTGAAACGTAATTTCATTCTGTGAATATCGATGGTGGATTTCTGACTGGCCACTTCGATCCCGAGTCAGGTTTCCCAGCAAACATCCAATCTGACATTAGTAAATATAAATAAATGTGATTAAAAGTTCCAGTCTGGTTTTCGCCCTAGTCACCAACAGTCTCCTCCTGAAAGACGGGAAAAGATCCTTCTCTACTGGAACCTCCTCTCTCCTCACGGTCCTCTGGTCTCTCCACCCTCAGGTTAAACGTGTCATTCTAAACTGTTCTCTCTCTTTTCTCTCTCACATTAATAATACCCGGTCTGCTCACTTCCACCTCGGTAAAACTGACCGACTGTCCGCCCCTCCTGCTCCCTGCCTCTATACTCTGGTCATTTCTCCCATTGATTCCTGCAATTCCCTCCTGGTTGTTCTGCCTCATAAATCCAAAAACTTCAACTGGTTCCAGTCTCTGCTGCTCGCATCGTCACCAAAACAGCCTCATTTCACCACATCACTCCAGTTTACAACAACTTCACTGGCTCCCCGTTTCCTTCAGAGTTCAGTTTAAATCGAGGCCGTTCATAACTTTTCCTCCTTATGGGTTTATTCTGCTGCTCATCGCCACGTTCCCTTCGTTCTTCCTCTTCATCCTCAGAGCCTCGTCTCGGCAGCGTGGGAAAAGGAACGCTCTTCCTCCTGACATCGTCTGTTCAGCTTCCTTCTCACTTTAACTGACCAGTTATTTTGTGGTTTGTGTCTTGTAGCCATTTTTACTGTTTAATTTGTGTTTCTAACTTTCTAAAGGTTCCTTGGGTGTTTCGAAAGGCGCTGGCAAATAAAATACATTTTTATCATTAAAAGTGAGCCAGAGATCAAAACTTTAACATATTAGAAACCATAGAAACAATCAAATGAAAACATGTTGACTTAAATAGGGTACTTTCATTAGGATAACGGGATAAAATGAAAAACAATAAAAACAATTTCAAACTTTGATTAATCTAATTTTGGAGCCTTAAGGGAAAAGAACTAAACAGGTTTCCTGTTCGGTTCTGCTGCTTAAGCCCCTCTGCAGACGAGTACAAACCAGCAAATGCTAATAGCTGTTTATTATTATTATTGTTATTACCATTAACGCTGATCTGTCTGCAGCCACAGCAGGTTTACCTCTGAACTCTTCCGGTTCTGCAGGATCTGCTGATCCGTGTCTTTGGTGGCGAAGAAGCGAGTGCATCCTCTGTTCAGATACTGCAGCAGAGGCAAAGGCACAAAACCATCAATATGCATCTCCATTTCCAGAAAATTTCATAAATCACAACCATTTATAAAGAATGATGTCACATCAAATTAAATTAAAACTCAGTCTTAATTCATTAAATCTTGTTTAAGCGGTTGAAATGTGTTGCTGCAGCAACACTGAAAAAAAAAAACAACTAACATTTAATTTAGTCAATATTTCCAGTCTGGAGAACATTAATAATTTTTAACAGTCATAGTGTTCGGCAGACTCTATCCTCTGCTGCCCCCTGGTGTTCAGGGCAGACAGGAAGCTCCCTGCAGAATCAGACCTGCCCCATTTCTCCTGCAGGCTGAAACTCTGCCTTACATTCAGTCCCGTTTGCTTTGCTAAGTGGAAACAGACTTTATCAATCTCAATAATTCTTCTTTGTGTTCACAGAAAGCCGAGGTAGTTCCCTTTCTGAGCATCTGATTTTCAATCAGCAGACAGAATGTGCTGCAGAGGCCTGCATGGTGACTGGCTGCAGGAGATGAAGCAGCACTGCATCCCAACACCTCAACATGTCAAGACCAGATCGGATCGAGCCGGACCGGACCTGCTGAGACCTGCTGGACGCTCTAGTCATGCCAGGTGAGTCTCCAGTTTGAACCCAAAGGCTCACAGCACTACCAGGCTCTGGGTTTGGTTGCAGCTCAGATTTTGGAGCTCTGATTGGTCCGTTAGCAGTAGGCTGGCGTTCCTACCCTGAAGGTGTCCGGGGAGCTGAGGTGGAACTTCTGGCGGATGTCCTCCGGCGCTCCGGCACACAGGCGGTAGAAGATGTGGTAGTTCCTCTCCTCGGAGCCCTGTGTGCAGATCCGGGACTTCTCCAGGAGGTAGTGGGACACGAATCCGCCGACGACCGCATTCTGGTGGGAAACAGGCAACACACTTTTTCAGAAATCTGTCCTCCAAGGGGTCAAAGGTCAAATGCAGCCTGATTGTACTGGGCCAGAGGCAGCAGAGAGGAGAATGGCAGGAAATGGGAACAATGCTCAGGAAGACGATGGTAGAGCTTAGCTACAAAGATTAGCTGAAACATGGTCTGGATCCAACCAGTGAGCCTTGAGGCACGCCAGAACGCGTTGAGTCAAACCTCTCCATGTCTGGCAATGAATTCATGCTTCACTGTGAATGAAGCAGTTTAAGCCAATCATCTCTCAGTTGGTGATGACATTTCATCCTGAGGACATAACAGAGACAAAATGACCATAGAAGAGAATCACCTGCAGCAAAGACAAACCAAGAAAACTGAGAAGGATGTTTAAAAAGAAGGGAGCCATGCACCGAGCCCTGGGATCCCCTCGATTCATAATGTCTGTGGTTTATCCAGAGGTCTCTCTGCCAGCTCACTAACCAGACATATTTACCAAGTCCTGCTGGTTCTGTAGTTCTCAGCTGAAACATTAATGTTCTGGTTTCCTGCAGGACTCTGACTAAAACACTGGCGGCCTATTGCAATGAAACGGAGCAAGTCACCTTCTCGTTGAAGTGGATCTCCACAAACTTCCCGAAGCGGCTGCTGTTGTTGTTCCGAACGGTCTTCGCATTCCCAAAAGCCTCCAGCAGGGGGTTGGCTGCACCAATCAGATGGCTTGGTTAGTACCGAACAAGTTCATTACCCACGAAGAAGAAATCCTCCTTACCTTCCACAATCCGCTCGTCGATGTCCTGACCCGTCCCGTATGAAGTCGTCAGGTACCTGGAGACCAGAGGAGAGTCAGATTTTCTGACGCGAGTCCGTTCTAACGAGTCCAAATGGAATTATAATGAGTCCAAACAAGTCCGCTTTCTATCCAGTCTAAGCTGCGAGTCAAAAGGCGCCTTCACCGAGTGCTGACTCCAGTTCCGCTGGGTATCCGACGTTGCTCTGACAGAACCAGAGGTGCAGCTGATCGGAACCTCAGAACCGGCTGAGCTGGGCTCCAGTTCCTCCAGCTCTTGTCCCGAACAGGAAGTGCTATTGAGCTAAACAGGAAGTTTCATCCTAGCCTACCTGAGAACGAACTTGGTGTTTTCCGTCTTGCCGGCGCCGGACTCTCCTGACACGATGATGGACTGGCTCATCTTGAGGACCTTCATGTCCCGGTACGCCTTGTCAGCTGCAGAGCAACACATGGAGGATTAGCCCGCTCCGCCCCAAATCGCCCCTCTGCTGAGGACGCCCTGGAGACGCTCTCACCGATGGCATAGACGTGCGGCGGCAGCGTCCCTAGAGACCGGCCCTGGTACTGCTTGATGGTGTCCGCCGAGTAGAGCTTGGGGATGTCGTAGTACGGGTTGACGGCGATCAGGATGTTGGCCACGTACGTCTGGGGAGGACATGAGACGGAGGAGACGAAGGAGACAGGTGAGTATGTGGGCAGAACCACACCTGCAGCTGGAGGAAGTGAGGATCTGACTCACTTCCTGCTGACGCGCTGCAGCAGAACCGACCCAGGTGGTTCTGTTTGTCTCCTTCAGGTTAATTAAAGATGTTTTCAATCATTTCTCACCAAACAGCGGTGGATTGTTCAGGAGGTAATGAACGGTCTTGAATAAGTTTATTATAGTTAACAAAAACTAACAAAGTAAAAACTAGTGTGTTAACTGAAATAAAAATTTACCAAGAAAAGGAAAACCACCTGAAACTGCGTTGACAAAACAAACTAAAATGAACTGAATTTGTGAAAAAGAGCTCAGTTTTTATTTCCGTCAGTGGGAATTTTATGGTCATTGTATTCCTTGCTGTTCCACATTTCACCAGCAGGTGGCGGTACGTAAACCAGCTTGGAATTAAGTAAGTATCATAACGAAAAACTTTTGTTTTAGAAACATAAGACTTGACATAATCAGTCTGGTTAAAATTTAAATCTCTCCTTGTTGAAACGGTGAGCGATGGAGGCGCCATATGAACCCAGTTTATATTTTATTACCAGGACGTTTCTCATTAGCATGACATAGAAAACTCACCTTACTAAAATTAGAAAAGTTTCTTATTTCTTCTTATAAGATGAACGTTTGTTGTTATTTTGAGATTCTGCTCCAGAATGCAGCAGAACCAGAGTCCAGTTCGGATTACTGTGAATAAAAACTGGGTTTAGCTTAACGCTAGCATCCTGCGGCTATGCAGAGGATTTTATTGTGTTTACTGAATCTCTGCAATCATTTAAACTCATTTGGTCTTCATTTGCTTTAAATTTATATTTTCTAAAAGCTGTGATGCTTTTCTGGGATATTTTTTTACAAATTGCCTATTTTTATTCTCCTGGTTTGTACAAAAAAAACTAATGTAAACTAAAATAAAAATCTTCAACCAGAACATTTTAACCCGTAAGTCTGAACTCACGTAGATTTTGTCCTTGCTGTAGCGAACTCGGACGTTGTTGAGCAGAGTGGCTTCATTCAGGTACATCAGAGAACCTGAGAGGCAGACACAGGTTTATCACAGCGCCATCTACAGCACGGGAGGCAGAACAGCAGCAGAAACTCACAGTTATCCTCCACGTGTTTGTTGATGTCGTCTTCAGCGGGGAAAACCTGGTTGACGGGAGCCAGAAACGTCTACAGGAGGAGAAACTATGAGTTAATGAGACTGTAGTGGCAGCAAACGGACACTGGGGGGCGATAAAGACCATCTGTTGTTCCTGACCAGAGGAGCAGAAGGAGGAGCTCCATCAGTCAACAAGGAGCAAGTACCCCTAGCTGCAGCAAACAGGAAGGGGCAGTGGGATCCCACTTGTTGGGATCCCACTGCCAACAAGTGGGATCCCACTGCAGGGGTACCATGGCAACGGTCCATTAAAAGCTTCGTGGTATGTTGTGGGATTGATAGAGAGCCACTTCAGACGGCCTGCAGGCCCTTCAGAGGGAAACACCTGCTGAGGTCAGAGGTCACAGCTCCTCAGCCATTTGTCAGGACCAGAACCGAGAACCGGACAGACTTACTGACATTAGAACCATTGTAGAGGCTAAATTTAATCATCCTGAACCAATAAAATATTTTCTAAAAAATGAATTTGTGTCCAAAATCAAAAACAAACTGAACAGCTTTCATCTCCCAGCATTACACCCCGCCCCATAATGAACCCTGATGACCTCTGACCTTTCCCTTCTGCTTCAGAGGCTCGATGGTGAGGCTGTCGGCGCCGATGTCAACGATAGTTCCCAGTTGGAACCCATCCATCGGGTGAGGCGCCCACACCGGCTTCCCATCCTCCATGGCGGCGATACCACAGTTCTGGAACAACAAGACCCGGTTAGGTTAGGAGAGAGAGGCAGGCGGGTTCTGTCCAGATTATTACGGGTTTGTTCTGGTGCTGGATTTCTTTTATCCGACTATCTTCAGTGTTCTGATAAAACGATTCCGGTTCTGGTTCTGCTGACAGAAACACAGTAGCTCCATGTCAGACTATTGAACACAATGGTGGAGGGGTGATGGTGTGGGCCGGGCAGCTAGCCTACAGCAAGTCGCCTACAGCAGCTAGCTTACAGCAGCTAGCCTGCAGCAGCTAGCCTGCAGCAGCTAGCCTACAGCAGCTAGCTTGCAGCAAGTAGCCTACAGCAGCTAGCTTGCAGCAAGTAGCCTGCAGCAGCTAGCTTGCAGCAGCTAGTCTACAGCAGCTAGCTTACAGCAGCTAGTCTACAGCAGCTAGCTTGCAGCAAGTAGCCTACAGCAAGTAGCCTACAGCAAGTAGCCTACAGCAGGTGGCCTACAGCAGGTGGCCTACAGCAGGTGGCCTACAGCAGGTGGCCTACAGCAGGTGGCCTACAGCTGAATCCATCTTATAGGATCTTTTTCACGTTTGCTTTTGGAGACTGTTGTTAAAGTATTGCCATTAAGGTCTTCCAATGACATCATTTCCTGTCAATTTCAATATATTAACCCTGAACCTTTGTGAGACACTGGTGAGCAGCTCTAGCGCCCCCTAGAGCCAGAACCACGCCTCCTTCAGAGGACTGTGCCCACAGAACCGCTGAGCCCGGTACTTTGGCACAATAATCCATCTGAAAACTGGATCAGCTGCTGACGTCCAGCCAGTTCTGTTTGGGTCGGCCCACCACTCAACCCAGTGGACAAACCACTGCGCTCAGTCTGGGCTCGGCCCGGTACCGTGTATCAGGGTGGATCCGCTGGGTCACCTGGAGAACCTGAGCTGCACCATCATCATCATGAGGAAGATCTAGCTATTTAGACTGGCTCACCTGAGGAACCAATGAGGATGAAGATGAGGAAGACCAGTGGAGGGTTGGATTTAACCTAGACTTTAACGAGTTCATTCATTAATCACGTCCAATTCAACTCATTAAAGAGTTTACAGTAATTATTTTCCTTCCAACACAATGAAAGATATTTTTCTCACAAGCAATAGTTCCTCCTGGAACCTTCGTATTCGCGTGTTTCTGGTACGGCTGTAAATGTGACGCACAGCTACATCCGCTAACAGCAAGGAAGCCGCTTCTGTTTTCCTCTGGATTTCATTTCTGCTTCAAACCAATCTTATGCTGGAAAACACTATTGTGTTAAAGCTGTGCTAAAACCAGCTAGCCTGTCAAAAGCTAAGCTAGCCAAAAATAGCATCTCAATGCTAATGTGTAGCAGCCAATTCTAAAGTTGGCGTCCACAGTCCATATTTCTAAAGAAGGTCCATGAATGATAAGAGAAATGGACAGAAAAACACTTTGCTCCAATCTGACAGCTGGAGAACAGATTAAAAAATATAAACTAGAAATATCTGATTAAAAACTAGAAATATCTTTGATGTCATCTCATTTATTAATAATTCAGCATCAAAAAAGGGATTTTAAATGAAAATATTGCTGATTTGTTGAAATGGTTTCAGGTTGAACTTTTTAATGGAGTCCATCTTCCACTGGTCTGAACATCATTGCTAACCAACAGCAGGTTCTGGTGCCGACCCGGCTGGACCCGGCCCCCTCCATAACGTGACGGCTCTATTGCTGGGCTCAGCTGACCTGAGATAAAATGTTACTCAGTTATGGACCATAAACGGTAAACTTTATGGTTCTGCAGTAAAACCAGAGCGGCGCTCCGCAGGACGCAGCTAGCCTACGGATCACTCTTAAAATCACTACAAACACAAGTTCACCCTGGAGCCCGGCCCGGTTCGTCAGGGCTCTGTGTGGGCCTGGTCCGGCCCACCTCAGGCCTTTCTGTGCTGAGCTGATCCAGTTAAAGATTGACAGGAAGCCTCTCGATCCAAGTCGAAGTCTAACTAATAAAAAACGTCACAAGCAGCTGAGAGGTTGTTCATTACACAGTCGGGCTGGACTGGGCCGCTGGTTCTGACGGAGGCTTCCTTGTGGAACCAGATGCATTCCTTCTTTTACTTAATCTAACAGACGGGGCGTCATGCAGAACCAGGAACCAGAACCGCACCAGGCCGACGTCGTCCTGCAGGAGAGGGGAATATTTCTGCAAATTCACACCAACAACCTGACTTCATTCAGACTACAGTTACAGAAAATAGTTTCTGAAAAACAAAACGAAAACCATAAAAACAAAGACATTCAAGATGGCAGCCATTTTTCAAGATGGCCACCGTGGTCCTGAAGAAGAGCTCAACTTTACACTGAATTTGCTGATAAATATTTTTGTTGTGAAATCATATATAACAGGGGTCCCCAAACTACGGCCCGTGGGCCGGATCCGGCCTGCCTCCACATTTGGTCCGGCCCCCTGAACAATACCAGAGAGCATTCAGATTTTTTTTTTTTTCATTTTCCGGTTTATATGTGGATTTTTCTTCAACCACCAGGGGGCTCTTTAGCAGGAAGCGTGTCCTGTAAACTGTGGGTCACATTGCTGCCATCTGTTGGACTTTTAGGGAACTGCTTGACTTGTATGTTATTTAGTCAGTAGGGTTGTTTGCTAGCGGTAGAGCAGATGAACACGTGTCTGTTATGAACGCCGCATTCCAGTTCTTTGAAGTGATGCCTGTAAGTAGCAGCTTATACTTCAAAACGAGCCTTTATGTTAACATATGAGAAATAAATATATTATCGTTACATTCCCTCAATGGAATATATACTAGTCAGTCCCAGTCACCGTTTCACTCATGGGTTTTGCCCAAGTGCTTTCTGGGTAAAAATCAATCGAGAAACGCCCCCTCCCCCCCTTAACAACTTCCGGCCCCCCACCAGAGAAGGGAAGAGTTATTTGGTCCTCACAAGAAAAAGTGAGGGCCAAATAACTGTGATATACAATATCACCACTGAAAACCCATTTACTGACATTTTTTATTTTTTACCACAGCCAAAGCTAATGTAAACGCAAAAATACGAGCAGAAGCTAATGCTACACTGCTAAAAACATAAAGGCCTAGGAGAAGCTAATGCTAAATCACATAACAAATATATCAGCAGAAGCTAACGCTAAACACATAAAATATCAGCAGAAGCTAACGCTAAACACATAAAATATCAGCAGAAGCTAACGCTAAACATAATATATCAGCAGAAGCTAACGCTAAACATAATATATCAGCAGAAGCTAACGCTAAACACATAAAATATCAGCAGAAGCTAACACTAAACATATCAGCAGAAGCTAACGCTAAACACCTGCATTTTCTGCAGCATGGCCCTTGTTGCATAACCGATCTGAACGCTTCGGAGCGGAAAGGTCCGGGACGCTCAGAGGCCAAAAATAACCCAGAGGAATCAAACCGTGACCCAAATGCAGGATGGACGCTGCAGGTATGAGCAGAAACAGGCAGAACCTCTCTGGGTCAGGAGCCGATCAGAACCATCAATCTGATGATCTGCTGCAGCTTCCACAACAAGAGATCAGGACAATCAGACTGAATCTTTGGCTGCACCGATTGCAGTTTTCTGGCTGATCACCGATCTACTAAAAGTCCTGACCTACCGATACCAAAATGTTGCTAAATGTAGCAAGAAAGTTGATGAGTTGCCAACAGTGAGATGACTGTTGGTATTGCTGTCTGCTCGTCAAACTTCGCGGCGCAGAGCAGAAGACAGCAGTTGATTTAAATATGTTAAATATCAAATCAGTGGTTAAGATCGACTTCACGTGTAAAAATAGGCCAATCACCAATTTCCCAAAATTAGGGAAATCGTCATTGTTGAATCAGCTGGCTGATAAATCAGTGCATCCCTACCTGAATGGGTCCAGAACCAACAGAACCAGCAGGACCAGCAGCTTTTAGCGATTTGATTCTGATTTTTAATGGTCATTCAATCCAGAATTCCCAGAACCAGAAATTTTCTGTAGAAAATTATTCTCTGCAGAATAATTTTTCTGAAACTAACCAGCAGAACCCGAACCCAGCCAGAGATCCAATTAAACCTGCTGACCCCACGACCCTAAGCTATGCTAAGCTAAGCTAGTCTGCATATGGCAGTTGATCAGCTGGTTGATCAACAATAACTGAAAACATTTAAACAAAATCACAAAAATGAAAAACCAAAAACTACCAGAACCTGATGAGGAGCAGCGGACAGAACCAGAACCAGTGTCTGCACTCCACCAGCAGGTCAGAACCGGGTCAGAACCCGCTCCAGTCCAGTCAGGCTCCACTGAGCCATTAGCAAAACTACACCAAGTGGTTTTAGTGGACAGGTGTGAATATTAATGCAGCTGGTTCCACCAATGGGTTCTCCAGGTCAGAGTCTCGGGTCAAAGGTCACGTTCTGGGGTCTGAATACTTTCTAGCAAGTTGTGCTACGTTTTTATCTGGTAGGTAATTCATTCGTTTGTTTTATTAACCTTTGTTACCATGGTAACACCATGCTCTCAGTGGATCCATGATCCCTAGGTGACCAATTAGGACCAAATTCTATTCCCCGTCCAGAACCGGCTCTGGGTCAGCTTCACAGGAAACCCGGCCCGGTTCATCATACCGTCCAGGTCCAGATTTCCCTCCGGTCCAGTTCGCCCAACAGGATTAACTTGAGTCCCGACTGGGACCATCAGGGACCGGTCCAGAACCACCAACCGATTCCAACCATAACGGGTCGGCAGTCGGGCGGAGAAGAGGAGGGACCTGGTGAAGTTTCCGGCCCGGTTACGGTGAAGGAGAGCGGAGTCAAAGTCCTGTCCAGGTAAGAGGCGGCTGCAGGTGTCCGCCCAGCAGGAAGTTGGATCATTTCAGAATAAAAGCCTCCGTCAGACATGAGAACAAAAGCAGAGCAGTAGGAGAGATAATGGCAGCAGCTCCACAACAATGACAGCTCTTATATAACCCTGAAACCACAACACTCCAGCTCCGGAACCACAGGCGAACCCATCAAAGACAGAATGCTGTTTCAGTCAGGACCTGTCCGCCGGTTCTGGTTACCAGGCTTAGCGGCAGCTCCGGTTTGTAACCGGTCCCGGTTCCCCGGCTCCTGTCAACTCGCAGGCCGTAGCAGTGCTCCCGTTGCCGGGGTCAGACCACAGCAGCACAGCCTCCCGTGTCTCGGTGCTGCCAGCGCCGATGACCGGTTCGGACCTAGCTCCGGCGGATGACCGGTTCCGACCCAGCTCCACCCCACTATGATGAATCAAGCCCCCCACACACCCACCGCCTCCCGCGGGTCCAGCTCGGCTTAAATCACCTGATTTTTACATGGACTTTGGTGGGAGCAGATGGAGACAAAGCTGGGCAATCAGCGCGAAGTGGAGGTAGTCATAATGTTCTGCTCGAATCGATCCGGAACAATCAGGTGTTCAGCTGTCGGTTCGGTACCAACAGGTTCTGGAACTGGAACCGGGATGCTGAGCAGTGTAGCCCCCGCCAGCTAGCTAACAGTTCGGTCTCACTTATCAGAACCTTCCCGGTGCTAACGCCGGTTCTTACCTGGCTCTTCTAGACGGACCTGCCGGAACTCAGTTTGGGTCGAACCGAATGTAGAACCGCGCCTTTAAATCCCCAGAAACAAGCGCGCAGCTTCAGCCGGCTGTTCTCCAGTAGGCTGCGTCCCTCCACTGGCGGCTTTCTCCACACTCTTCCCGAGCAGCAGCTTCCCTCTCCCGCAGCGATCCTGGGAAACAGCCCCGTGACGTCACACGCTGCCTTTATAGTCCGGGGCGGGACAGGACCGGCCGCAGGGGGCGCTGTTTCCAACCGAAGCCTTTAACTCAAACAAAAGAAACACAAAGGCGCTCGTGAAAGAGTTAATGATTCATGACTGCCAAATATTTCTAACGAATAAAAATCTGAAAGGTGCGGCGTGCAAATGTAGTCCGCCCCTGACAACGGAATGTTGGGTTTTTATTTGTGAATATTTACAAGTATTTGTGAATATATAAGTTACACTTGTTAAATGTAATTATTGAAATACACTTTTCAGTGAGAGCCTCCTTTATTAAGTTATGCTAGTATCAGTTTTGTTTTTGTAAATGAAATGTAAGCATCTTTGAGTGTCCTAAAAAGCACTATATACATTGAATAGGTTATTATTTAGGGATAGGTTGAGGGTTGGGGTCTCCAAGTCAAGAGGAGCCAGTTGAGGTGGCTCAGGCATCTGGTAAGGATGCCTCCTGGACGCCTACCTGGTGAGGTGTTCCGGGCATCTCCCACCGGGAGGAGGCCTCGGGGAAGACCCAGAACACGATGGAGGGACGATGTCTCTTGGCTGGCCTGGGAACGCCTTGGGATTCCCCCGGAGGAGCTGGAAGAAGTGGCTGGGAGAGGGAAGTCTGGGCCTCCCTTCTGAAGCTGCTGCCCCTGCGACCAGACCCCAGATAAACGGAAGAAAATGGCTGGATGGGTGGATGGATGGGGGGATGGATGGAGGTTATTATAATCATGAGCATTTCATAATTTGGCTCCTTTCCTCCTGTAAGCCGAGGTCGCAGTCTGAAACTGAAACTAGATGTTTCTTTGTTGAGCCAGAAGCTCTTCTGTTGTCCTCCTCCCTTAGGAAACAAAGGGCCGCTTGTTTCAGAGTCGCAGATAAAAGCTCATCAGAGCTGTGAACATGGAGAACCAGATCATGTCATCAGCCTCCAGATTGCCACGACTGTCCCGACGCTGCAGAAACCTCTCCCTGCGTTTATGGTTGTCAGTTTATTCCCGTCTTCCTGAGCTGTTCTGCTGTTCTCATCATGTTTACTGCTGTCACAAAGCTGTAGCTGCCTTTAGTTGAATAAATTATTAAACTTGTTTCTGCTTTATAATATATATGATAGAGGCATGTAGTGCTAGGTGGAAGTACAGGTACTACAGCGTACCGTTTACTGTACCTGAGTAATATCAAGTATCGCTTTTGGCTGTTTTCCCCACTGAGAGTAACTTTACTAAACGTTTGGGCGCAAAAACATCTGCAGTTTATGTTCAGTGACGTCTTCATCTTTTTAATGTTATTTCCTACTTGCTCCCCTTGAAGACACTAAACATGTGGATATTAAATACACTTCACTGTAAAACAATATTTACTGACTCAGCGTATTTCCTTGTTGTTTTCACTCAGTTAACTGTCAGGTTCAAAACACTCCATCAAAACTATTGCTATAACTTTACTGAACTGTCTTTAGCTATTATATTAAATTAAAAATAATTAGCTCAAACTAACTTTAAAAAATGTTGCCCCAACTAAAGTTTTTACATAAGTTGACTTAATAAAAAATGTTCCATCCTTATAATATCTGTGGTAAAGTCATCTGGGCTAATTTTAACAAGTTTGGACAAATATTAATCTTATTGGCTGATAATGAAATTCTGTATTATTAAATAATATTTCAAGGTTAAAGTGAACGTTTACTTTTACGCAATACATTTTTTATTTTAAACGTTCATTCAAGTGATGTCTAAATAACAAACAAAAAAGTTTTTAAGAAAATTATTTTATTGAATTCAGGAAAATTAATGGAAAGTTATAATTTCACAGAAATAAAAAAAATAATTTATAGCTCTTGAAAATGCATGCCTTCAAATATACGTTTTAAGTTTTCGGAAGGAAAATAATTAGAAAAATTTTGAAAATTAGAAATACAGTTCTATTAATACTGATAACTACTGAAAAGAAAAAAAATTTCATAAATTTTCTAAGAGACAAAGTCTTTAAACATTTTAAATGTCTCTTTAAAATAGTTTAAAACAACGTTGGAAATATTTAAGCCAGGAACAAATAAAAAAGCAGATATTCCAAATAAATCGTGCTTTATCCACAACATTCAGACCGCAGCAGTATTTCTGTCAGTATCGGTTTGTTTTATTTGTAAAATGGTTTTCCTCTTGTTTTTACTTTTGTCTTTTGAATTTGGACATAACTTTGCATTTTGTCCGATATCATTTGAAATATTGAAGTAGTTTATTAACTAAATACTTTTTAGTATGTTGCAGTACTGCTTCTACCTGCGGCGGCTCCACCCACCTGTCGGTTTAAACTGTAAATAATCATCAGATGATCGACCAGCAAACAGGAAACGGCGATGGTTGGGTCATGGGTTGCCAGGTCGAGTCAGGGATCCACCGCAGGTGCCTCTGCGGCGCTGCTTGAGAAGGACCTCGCTGCAGCAAACAGAAAGGGGCGGGACGGACCGCTGTCAGTCTCGAACCTTATTTGGAAATGGAATCATTGCACTCCGGAAGTGAAGGGGGCGCTGTTTTCTATATTATCCGTGGCCTCCCGTTTTTTATTTTCTTTTGAAATCTGTGATATATCTTCATCTTTTGGAAGGATGTTCTCTCTCAGAATGTATTTGAAATTCTCTCATTTATTTACTTCAGCAAAGCTCACAGTTTTTAGCAAATTCTGTAACTTTCTTTGTACTTCTAAATCTGCTCCTTGGTCGCATCTTTTCGGGTCTACTACTGCCTCTACTGGCGTGGGGGTGGTA